TGAATTCAATACCTTAATTTTGACACCAATCTCTGGCAGACAGTGAAGAGGTGAGGGGCAACCATATTGTTATATTTGTCAAGTGTACTCATACTCTCCATTAGTCAGCTATTACTGTCTTTAGTCATTCTTCATGCTGTTATTCTTTTTTTCTCCCATAAATTAGGAGAAATGTTTTGAGCCTATGTCAACTGAGGCAATCCTTTATGTGCATTCGCAGAGCTCAGCTGTGAGCAAAATGATAACATAGGTCCTGTTTTGAACTTCCAGTCTGATGATTTCAGGCCTTTAATTACATTTTTGTTTAATGACAAACAATAAACTCTCATTCCTTATTCACCTTCTTCTTAGCATTTATGATTTCACAGATTTCTGTTACATGTCTGAGATTTTAAGGTTAGTTCTTGTACAAAAGTGTTTGCATATCTTTGAGAATCCTTGCTTCCCTTCTTTTTTTTTCTTTTCAAATATAATTTCACTTTTGGGAATATGAGGACCAGAACTATGTTACTCTCTCTACCTTATCGTTGTTAAACATTTTGGGTTTATATTTTCCTCTTTAGGGTTTTTTTTACTCTTTAATATTTAGATAACATTTTCATAGAACTCTTCATTATAGTTGCAAGATCTTTGTCTAAGTAGTAAGGTTAACAGCTAGTAGTTACTACCAGTAGTAACTCCTCCTCAGTGTTAACAGGAAAAAAAAAAAAATCAGGGTTGTTTTCTCCGGTGTGCATCATTTTATTATTTTCAGTATTGGTTATCTATTGTACTATCAAGTACTGTCTGAACCTCTTGGCACTTTTTTCAACATTCTGAGTACTCATTTAATAATAAAAAAAAAATTAATCTTGCTTATTTAAGCTTTAAATACATGGCTCAGAATTTAAAAAAAAAAAAAAAAGAGGCATTTCCATTTAGTATTTTAACTCTGCCATTGTCAAATCTTTCACATCCATTTCCTAGAAGGTAATCATCCACAAAATATTAATCCTCCCCACCACTGGCTACCCTTATAAGTATAAAATTGTAGAGTAAAATAACTGAAGGATTGTATGTAATTCTCTATATTTTAAAGGAAAGAAAGCAAAATAGAACAGACTAGTCTATTATTATAGACTAATAGACTAATCTAGTCTATTATTCTCTCTTTGGTACTGTAATGCAAACGTTTCAGAGAGTACTGCAGCAGGCATACTCCCAGCAACTCATTTGGAGAGTTGTATTTCTTTTTATAGTTGTTACACTTCACAGCTTGAAATAAGAAGCTTCAATTATTCATCCTTCAAGCCATTGCCAATGCTCTTCAGGGCACAAGGTGACAAGAACAAAGAGATGTTTTAAGGAGACAGATTACTCCATTGTTTTCCACCATGGGTACGTTGCATCTTCTGATTTATGTGGACTTGTCCAGTGTTAAAGACAGAGTGCCGAAATAATCACAGGTCTGCTCCAGCATAGCATTTCCTGTAAGATAGCAGATGAGCCAGTGTATGTACAACCTTTTCCATTTGTAGTACATAACTGCAGATGAAAACATGTAGTAATGCATATCAAAAAGTCAATTAACTGCACTTGTAAGTCTTTTTATACCTTATACTGGTTTATGTACTGATATAAGCTTTGCAAGTACCCATTAATAATTTTTTGTGCTGGAAGTCAAGGTTGTCATTTCTTCTATTTTTACACAACTTTGTTATGAGAAAATACAATTATCATTATAAATATTTTCTTTGTCTTTGTGGAATGGAGAAGACAACTGCGAAAAGGAATTGCAGATTGCTTTCACCATTTCTTTAATTTAAAAGTGCTGGTCTAATAACTGAAAATAAGTGTTCTTTGACTACAAAATATTAAAAAAAATAATTAAAATTGAGACAGTTCATTTTTTTTTTGCTCCATCTTAAGTAAATCTCTGTTCTGCGTTCAGTAAGTCATTTGCCCCTGCTTGGCAACTAAAAATGGGGACAGTTCTGTCTAACTCGATGAGGTTGCATGAAGTATACACAAAGCCACTAATCACACTAGTGATCATCTGATTAAAGATACTAGACTAATGATTGTCCTAATCCAACATGGTTTTCTCTGTCAAAATCCTCAACTGTTCTTATTTAGACTGCTTCAGAAGAGGCAAATTTAACCTAATATACAAATATGTATTGACAGCTTACATGTATTTGGGAATGTACTATGAATCAGATTCAAAGTGTTTGAAATAATATTGACTCCTCTGCTGACTTTTTTAATTGTTTTATATGCTCATAGTCTTATAGAGTTAAGTCCAAAAAAGACCATTAGGTCATTTCATCTATTTGTAAGCCCTATATCAAGATACTCCTTTAAGGAGCCCTTAAAATTTTATCTGACCACAAGATGACTTGTGGTTTGGTTAGTATGCATTTTCTTAAAGTCCAGTTCAGAATTCAAGCCATCAGGAGAGAATTTGCTTTTTTCCATGGAATGGATATTATAAAACCTCTTACAGTCAATGTTGACTGTCTTTGATTTTGATTACACAATATGATAATTATTATTAAGAGTGCATTATTTTATAACATACTGTAACTAGCCTTATCTCTGTGTTCTCTAGATTTAAAGATTCCTGTGAGTCCACTGAAGACACATATAATAAGAATTACTTCTTCTCTATAAAGTGCAGAAAAGAAAAGCATATCCAACATGAACAAATGTTCACAATTTGGCACTGAAAGGTAGCCTAGCAATCAAGACCAATTCAAAGTCTTGATAATCAACTCTGTGTGCACAAATTGCCAAATATTGCATAAATTCCTCTGTTGGTGAAGAAATACATTGAAATTCTGCTCTCACCTATATGTATGCAAGGAGAGAGCATGTCTGTGTATGAGATTTCTATAGAAAGGGGTCTCTACTGTGATGTCCTTCTGTACATAGAGCAGAATAAGCAGCACAGCTTAAAGTAACAAACACATGTCAGATGAAGAAAACAAAAACATACTGGGGGAAAAAAGAAAAATAAAAGGAAAGGAAAATTTTGTCCTGCTGCTTCAGTCCTAATTTTTGTTTAGAAATGCTCACAAGGATGCTTCGGCTTTTAGCAGATTTTGCATTAAAGCCCACAGTCAGAACTGCAGGAATATTTTTCATAGCATTATGCTGTTAAGGGCACAGACAGAAAATTCATTGTAAAATTCATTGTTTTCCAAAATTTCTGACTCAACAGTATTAAGAGGCCATTCAAAACATTCAAAACTCTCAAATGATGCTGTAAACGGTCTGGTGGAGGGGCTGGGAGCATAAGGGAATATCTCCCACATGGGCTGACCACCCGAGGAGGAAAAAAAAAGATGAATAATTGTTAAGCGCTTCTATTATGTACTTCCCAAGGTATAGAGGTGGTGACCACACTGGGAACGCAAGCCAGGTCAGTTTCATGATCAATGATTCTATTGTATTACAAGTCATTACCATAAAGTACAATGAAACAAGAAACTTAGCACAAGACCCTCAGCCGATAAACACTAACACAGCAAATACTGGCTGTAAGTAAGGTACAACGTGCTGGAAATGTGAGATCAAGAGCAACAACCTTGAGAGCCAATCAATCAGCATTGTGACAAGTGACTGTTAATCCAAAACAATAAATGCTTATCACAACAACGATTAGACACACTCTGGTCAGATCTGTCGTTATCTCAACCCTTGTGCCCCACACTGGGAACCAAAAAGAACTGTCATGATTTAAGCCCAGCCAGTACCTGAGTGCCACTCAACCGTTTGCTCACTCTCCCCCCCTTCCTTCCCCTGTTCCCAGAGGGATGGGGAGGAAAATCAGAAGAATGCAACTCCCACGGGTTGAGATAAGAACAGTCCAGTAACTAAGGTATAACACAAAACCAGTACTGCTACCACCAATAATAACAATAACAAGGGAAATAACGAGGGAAGAGAATACAGCCACTCACCACCCACCGACCGATACCCACCCTGACCCAAGCGGTGATCTAGCCCTTCCAAGTAACTTTCCCCAGTTTTATATCCTGGGCATGATGTGCTGTGGTATGGAATGCCTCTTTGGTTAGTTTGGGTCAGGTGTCCTGTCTCTGCTTCCTCCTGGCTTCCCCTCCTCCCTGGCAGAGTATGAGGCTCAGAAAGTCCTTGGTCAGGGTAAACATTACTAAGCAGCAACTAAAAACATCGGTGTTATCAGCGCTGCTCCCAGGCTGAAAATCAAAAAACAGAGAGCTGCACCAGCTACTAAGAAGGAGAAAAATGACTGCTGCTGCTGAACCCAGGACAATACAGAATGTGCTTTTCCTCTAGATTCTTCCTCCCTTTGTCAGGGCATACCAAGTTTCCAAGCTTTTATTCTATTTTTTTTCTTTGCATGTTTATTACTGGAATTCCTTATGTGCTTGGAGACTCTGCAAAGCTTCTTATAACTGTTTTCATCTATTTCGATGATTCTTAAATTTTCATATATATATATATATTTGCTTTTTTTCAAGGATTTTCCAAGAAAATGAGCTCTTTTTGATGATTCTTCATGTCCTTCATTCATTGTGCTTTCCAGCTTGCCCTCTTGGATGAATGTATACTGTGACTGCAGAAGTTTGTGTGTGAATATACAAATACGTATGTGTATATGTACACATATGCAAGTGTATGCATATTTTTGGATATGTATACATAATCATGTATATGCATAACATATTTCAAATATGCATTTGCGGATATTCACAATAGCATATTTAGGCATATAAGGAGGCACACAGATCCCAGCTGTCTGAGTGGCTAGCTCTGTAAGGGTATACTGGAGCATAATTTTCTTTCTGTGTTCTTTTCAAGGACTCCAGCATTTCATGGCACATACAGAAGTCAAATGTACAGTAGTATCTGTTCAACAGTATGACAAAGCAGTTTTTGTCTTGCTGATGTTCTCCTAGCAGGTGGTCGATGTCAATTATTTTTTGCTTCTGTGTAATGAAAGCTGCTACATATTCATTTCAATTCTGTTACAGAGCTCTGAAGTTCTGACAAGCTGTGAGCAGTTCTTCAATCAGGTAAATTTATGAACAGCTTCATACTAGTCGGAATCATCATGTCCTGACTAACCTGGATTTCTCACAACTTGTCTCTGTGTTTGCCTCATACACAGCGGTTAGGTTGTCCTTTTCCTTTCTGAATTTTTAGAACTTGTTGCAGAAGACAGATGTACAAACTTCACTTGTTCACTTGTTTCCAAATGCTGTTTCCAAATGTTGGATAAGCTGATTTTTTTTTTTAATGGGTGAACTCACAAGCTAATTCACATTGATCTGATACTTGGACCATGTCCACATGAGCAGCCTACCTTGTCCAAGTTACCATGAAGTGTCTAGTCAGATCAAGCTGAGCTCTGTTGCCCTGTGAATAACAGCCCTGCTCTCAAGACTAGGGTGTGGGCTGCCAATATCATTCAGAAGGACATGAAACTACCTGGTCATAAATGTTGAATAAAGTGCTTCTTAAGCAGATTTTATATGCAGACTATTCAGATGAGAAAAACCCAGAATGTGATGTTACATGAAAAATCTCTTTCAACTCTTCCACCTGCTGTGGTGCTCAAATTCCCAATTTCACTTCCAGGAGTCTGCCATAACTTTAATATATTTTACACATATATTTATTTATGTGTTTATATATATACCTTATTGCTAGCTCTGACTCTATTAAAAAATAGTTTTAGTTGTTTAGGTATTAAAATTTTTTTGTAAAATTATAAATCTTCTTCCAAAGCCTTTGTTTATCTTAAAGATCATTAAAGGAACAGTAACTTACTGTGTGCTCGTAGTACACTAGTAACTAAATCTGTTAAGATACATCAGAGCCATGCCCATAGAAGTATCCCTTTGTGCCTACAGAGCGTTTCATCTACTGTGTGCACGTACATTGCCAGTGATATGTGTGGATCTAGAATCAAAATATTGAAACACAATGCATATGGAAAAGAGTGCTGAAAAAATTAATTTCATACCCCTCCAGATAATAAGTCATCAGAATCCATTTTTGTGTTGGAAATCAGGAAGCTGTGGAGCTGTGTTGGAAATCAGGAAGCTGTGGAGCTGCCACTGTTTACCAGAATTGGTTATCTGGACTTACACAGTACTGTGTGTATTAGGTAGGTAGAAATTTGTTATCAATAATATGAAAACGCAATGACAAGTTTAATGAGAAGGAAGCATGTAAAAACAGATTGCAATCTAGAGATAAAATTAGTCCTCTCAAAAAGAAGTTTGAGTTGTATGACTTGTTCATTAAAGCACAGAATGACAGACTCACAGACAAGCTGAGGCTGGAAGGCACCTCTGCAGATCATCTAGTCCAAGCCTTTGCTTAGAGCAGGGTCAGCTACACCAGGTTAGTCAGGGCTGTGTCCAGTTGAGTTTTGAATATCTCCAAGAATGGAGACTCCACACCTCCTCTGGGCAACCTGTTCCTGTGTGTGACCACCCTCATAGTGAAGAAGTTTTTTCTTATGTTTAAGTGAAATTTCCTGCGTTTCAGTTTGTGCCCATTGCCTCTCATCCTTCCACCAAGTGTCACTGAGAGGAGTCTGCCTCTGACCTCTTTGCTCCTCCTATCAACTGTTTATGATCCCTCTGAGCCTTCTCTTTTCCAGACTGAGAAGTCCCAGCTCCCTCAGACTTCTTTTGCTCCATATCCTGAACCCCTTTGCTGGACTCATTCAAGTATGAGTGAATACTTGTACTCTTGTACTGTACTGTTCACTCTTTTACTGGGGAGTTTAGCACTGGACTCAGCACTCCAGATGTGTCTCACTAATGCTGAGTAGAGAAGAAGGGTCACCTCTCTTAACCTGCTGTCAACACTCTGCCTAATGCAGCCCCAGATGCCGTTAGCCTTTTTTGCCTCTGAGGCACACTACTAGCTCATGTCCATCTTGGTGTCCATCAGGATACCCAGGGCATACCCTGTGTATCAGGCATACATTGGACATATGCTGGGACCTGGGGTTATTCCTCTCCATGTTCGGAACTTGGCCTTTCACTTAGTTGAGCTTTGTGAAACTCTTGGCCCATTTCGTCACCCTGTTGAGGTTCTCCTGAATAACAGCACACCAATATGGTGCATCAGCTACTTTTCCCAGTTTTGTATCATCTGTAAACTCACAGAGGGTGTGCTTACCATAATGACATCATTATAGTGATAACATTGAACTGTATTGGCACTAGTATACTTTCCTGAAGGAAGGTCTGTGTGATGATGTGGAACTGACATTTGTTGCTTGTGAAACAAAAAAAATAATATTCAGACCATTATATTGCAAATAATATGCCTCTGTCTTGGTTGTCAGATCTACATGAGGTTTTTTTCTGCCATTTCCATTCTTGCCATTTTTAAGAAAGCTCTTCTTCCCCATCAGTGAAAACAAAATACTGTCTGTAAATCATGAACTAGTAGTTTTTGAACAAATTATGGTGTTACTGATCTTTATGAAAATTCAAAATAATATTCTTCATGGTCTTTGTGTTGGACTTAGTTTAGAGTTTCTAGGATTCATGTGTTCTTTATCTGAGACTTTTAACCAAAGCTATAAAATTTAGAAATGTTAGCTTTGAAAATAGAAGCTCAGATTTTCATAATTTCATTTTCTTTTCTATTTTTTTTTATTATGATCATTTTCATCACTGGAACAAGTGAAAACAATTTTGTTCACTATTGGTTGCATGCAGGATTCCTTTTTATTTCTCTGGCTCTGGAGTGCATTGGTTGATTTTAGGATTTTGTTTTTTCCTAAATAATTTGATCTTGATCCCCTTTTAACTCAGCAGCATGCAGCAGTCAATGAGTTTTCACTAGATGGTCATCTAAAAGTCACATCGTTGTCAAATTATAGAGATAGGTTATTATAGTTTGTGTTACTCTTCAGAGCTCAGTGGTCACCCTATTTTTAGTTTAAAAGCCTTTTATATTTACTTTGCTCAGTTCTGCAAGGTTCTGTAGTTGTTTTGGTGAATGGGTTCCTTGAGGACCCAGGAGGAGGGAGCATTTAGCATTTATTTGATCAATTGTCTCTTTCCACCATTTATAAATGTGCATTAGTACTATTCTCCTGTACCATTCCAAGCACAGTGAGCCAATTTGACCTTTTCTTTTTTGTGTTGCATGATTATTGTGAGGCTTCTTTGCACTAAGAAACTTTTTCTAACGACCCTCTTTCTTATTTTATGCCAGTTGTGCTGTCATGTAGGAAGCAAATACACATACCCAGAGGCAAAAGTTCAATGATGTTTCAGTAGTGAAACTTCTTTATGCTACCCTCTAGAGCTCTTGTATTGGACTAAAATTTAGCTGCTATATTCTCTAATTACTTTTCTTACTTTTGTTTATATTGTATACTTGGAAATCAAACATCAGCACAGATTTCTGCACATGTCAAAGGTGACAATGTGCTAAACAATAACGTAATAGTGAGAGAGTGACTACAGAAATCTAAGAAAGTATTATGTATATCTGTAAACACTGCTAATACAGCATCATTAGATGTTTTAGTATCAAGCTTCAAGTAAGCCCTGTGCCTTGCGATGCCCACATGAGCGTTTTTTTACAGAAACTGTTTCACCTGCATCTATTATCCACGTACACAGTGTATTACTGATTTATTGCATTTATGACTTATGGCCAGGTAGGATCCAACTGCTTAAGGAAACAAATCATATTGAGAAATTGCCACTGTAATGCTTCATATGTATTTGGTGATTATGTATCTGCAAGCATACTTAAATCAGCATACAGTCAGTATTTAGGCTTCTATTAGCATCTAAAAGAAGAGACCCTAATAATCTTGCTTCTTCAGGAAGAGAGGGCATTTAGGGTGATCAAGTCCAATTCTTTTGAACTCTTGGTTATTGCACCTTTAGCAATTGGTAAAGGTCCATCTTAGTTTTGTCATCTACCTGCCCTACTAAGACTGGGCCAAAATCACGCTTCTGTCTTCCTGGCTATTTGGACCCACTGTAGCCATTTCACTCTGTTTTCATAGATATGGTATGAGTATTTTTTTGTCAGGTGATCACTCGCATTTCAAACATTAATAAAGTTTGAAAGTAATTTTCAATAAATGTATGACCCCATTTACATGTAAATCCAAACGTTATCCCTGCTTGCATCTAATCTCTAGTTCAGCTTCCTTTTCTACCCTTCCACCTACAGGTTGTTACTGGAGACTGGTCTCTTCATAGCCTGTGCAATGAGAAAGATCTGCAGGGCTTGCATAATAATTATTTTTCCAAGTAGTTCAGTAGGATTACAGTTTGGATTAAACCTCAGGAGTACCATTCAGCAATGGCAACTGATCCATAAAGATCTATTATGAAGGATCTATATAAATAGTGCAGTGTACTGGCTTCATAGAAAAAAAAACAAAACCCTACAAACTACTTTCATCAAACCATGTACAGCAGTGTTTATTGGGTCGTGATTTCTGGATCAGTGGTGGTCCATAAGCTTTCAGAAGAAGTGCAGCAAAATGCTTTTTTTTTTTTTTTTGCAAGTACATAATATGCATTTATGAAGACAGATAAAGCAAACACAGGTATATGGAATAAATACAGGAACACTGAAAATGTGTATTCAATGCAGCAGGAATTAAAACTCTGTGGCATTATTTCATATTATGGATGAGTGGATGGATGGATGGATGGATGGATGGATTTGCATATATAGTTGTGCGTACACATGTACTAGAGATCCATGTGTGTGTGTGTTTCTATATTTAAACTCAGTATCCTTCAAATCTGAAAAGTCAAACTAGATGTTCCTAATTATTCCTTCCACCTCTAATACAGCATGTAAGTGCTGTAATGAGGAAACTCATGAACTCTGCGTACCACAAGCAATATCAATGGCTGACAAATTCATATAGCTTTTCTGAGTCTTCATTACTTCTTTTCACCAGGTCAAAAACTGATTCAAGGGAGCCAATTCTCTTGAATGGTAGTAGATTATGAGAGGATGCAGCTCCAGGCACTGTGACCATTCTTGCCTTTTCCTCTTAGAA